CCGCCTTAGACGCACAGTTCAGGCCCCCCTATCCGAGATCTACCGGTTTTGACACCGACAGCCGTGGACAAATAAATGTCCGTGGCCAGTTTCACTGATTTCCAAATAGTGCAAAAGTCCGACACGGTACTACCGCTGAAGGCAAGCGGTACTACCGCACGGGGAGCAGATGTAAAAAATTACATCCGCTCCTACTTCCACTACTGGTGTTGTGCCGGACCAGGGCTCACGGTACTACGGCTCCCAAGGAGCGGTACTACCGTGACCTCCTGTGGTACTACCGCAGGGGCCTGCGGTACTACCGCTCAGAACAGCAGTACTACCGCAAGCCTCAGAACAACAACACATAGGAAAACTTCTTTTTGCACAAACAAGAAGAAATGGAGGATGCTCCAAAGTGCTAAAGGAAAGGCGGTGCAAAGAGGAGTAAACGTGTACGTGACGATTCCACCCAAACCTTTCCAAAGCGGACCCCCTCTTAATAGTACGGCTTTCCTACGACTCAAATCCACCGAAAAAGGAACGTAGAAAAACGCCGTCTTCAATAATCTTCGAGGGGATCCTAACCGTCTTGTGCCTAGTCATGAAATATCTGAAATACTTGAGACACACGATTGGTCCGCAAATGCATTGTCATCAATCACCAAAACACCTTAGGGATAAATATGCCCTTACAAAGGACCTGGAGCTTTTCACTAGCTTCAAAATGAGCCCAAGATCATCAAAACCAGAGTGTGGATGAGAAAGTTATGCATGTTTTACTTTTGGGGCGGCTGCAGTTTTTGTGTTGGCCGGATGTCCGGTAGTTGGCTGGATGTCCGGGCTCCCAGGATGCCTCAGATGTCCGGGATCCTCTCGGAAATCCGGCTCGCTAAGTCCAGAACCTGTGTTGAAATGTTGGTTGTGCCCTCCGGATGTCCGACACTTGGCTGGATGTCCGGGGCCTCAAGTTTGGCCAGATGTCCGGGTCCTGTACTCTGGTCTCTATTTTTCACATGCGTGTGTGTGCATTTCTCAGCTGTCGGATGTCTGGCCCTTGCCCAGATGTCCGGCCAGGAACAACCACTTACTCACAAATGGCTATTTTTTAGGCTTGCTGTACATACCCCTCTACCAATCCGGTATAGGGTTGACCACTCGATCCAAAAGAACCCTAGAACACCCAAGTGGCTCCCTCTTACTTCTCCTACACCAAATCTTAGATCCCAGAGAGATTTGTGAGAGTTCTTGAGAGATTTTCCAATCAAGTGATAGATCCACTCCCTCTCCCTCTTGTGACCAAAGGAATTTGGGAAATTTTTGTTTTTGCCACTCTAGATTTTGCCAATTTTTCTTATGCCACTCTAGATTTTGACATTTTTCACTTTTGCCACTCTTAGTTTTTGACAATTATCACAATTGCCATTCCTGTGGCAAAAGCAAAATTTCCAGATTGGCAATTGTGATACATTTCAAAAGTTAAGAGTGGCAAAAATGAAATAAAATTATTTTGCTTTTGCCACATAATGGCAATTGTGATAATTGTCAAAAGCTAACAGTGGTAAAAGTGAAATGTCAAAATCTAGAATGGCATAAGAAAAATTGGCAAAATCTAGAATGGCAAAAATAAAATTTCCCCAAGGAATTTCTGATTTAAGCAAGTCTTGAGCATTTCCCTCTTGATCTTGTTACTATTGGAGGTTGGAGACTCCTAGGCGGTAGGAGTGCTCCGGTGAGGAATCGACTTGTGATTTGCCCCCAGAAAGTCTGTGAAGGTTTGGAGGTCGCCTCAAGGTCTACCACTAGTGGTTGAGAAACGCCTTCATGGTATTGTCTCAAAGGGAGAATAGGGTGAGCCTTCATGGTGTTGGTGTGCCCTCGTGGTAACATCCCCCTCTCTAACGGTGACTAGCTTCCCTCTAAGGAAGTGAACATCGGGATACATCCTCGTCTCCGTGTCTTCGGTTATCTCTAACCCTAGCCACTACTTGTGGTTTACTTTGGTCTCTTGACCTTGCATTCACTATATATTGTTGACCTCATTATATTGTGTTGGCTATTTCCTTGTAGAGATTATTTAGGCCTACACTTTATATCCCGCGATTCATACTTGTTACCATTGATATATCCTATCATTAGTATGAATTGCTAACTTGTGTCATGCACATCCATATCTTGTAATATTGCTCAAGTAAGTTTGTGTAACTTGCCTGTTCTTGTTAGTATCCTTGTTGTGCTCATCTTATTTAGAATAAGTTATTCGTGCATTTAGTTAAGCTTAGTGTATTTAGGATTTGTGCTTGAAAAGTATCCTCTTAGTTTATTTCCCCATTAGGATTAAGACAAATCCATAGAAGTTTTTAAAATGCCTATTCACCCCCCTCTAGGCGACATCGTGGTCCTTTCATGTGCCCAGACCGGTGACTCGCAACGGGGAACTTTGGTGGTGTGCGCGTCCATGGCTCAAGGCTGTGGCCGCTGGGTGTTGGATGCGCATCTAGGTTCTCCGTCTGTGGGATCCAGGTTTGTGACCACTGCGGTGTGCCCGCCAGGAGGTGGTGCGGCTCCCGGTCGTGCTGGATGTGGGAGATGTGTTGGTGGTGTTCTTCCCCGGTCGCGAGGGTGTGGTGGTAGCTGGAATGTGTGGCCTCGACGTGCTGGGTATCTGGTGCACTGTGACGCTATGACCACAGTGATGAGGTGCTACAGCGGCGGCAGTGTAATCCAGCACAGACAGGGGGGCCTCATTCCTTCGCGAGGGGTGGGAGGTGGGCGATGTTAAGGATGAAAATCCTGCCGTCTTCGGTCGGTGTCGCGACGCCGCCGCTCGTGGGCGTCGTTCCCCTCCTTGGAGACGTCGCTTAGGCGTGTCAGCATCTCCCCTTCTTGGTTGGGTTGATGTCTCCGGGTGAAAATCTAGGTCTTGGACCGGCGATGGCAACAACGTCGTTCCTCTATTGAGACATCGTTTGTGGAGACATGACTATGAAGTTCTGTGTGGTGGTTCTCCGGTGCACGCCGCTGGTCCAAGTAGAATTGCTTGGGCGCTATGTACATCAACGCCGGTGAGTATAGGACTGTGGCTTTCTCGAGACTATCTCGTCCCGCCAACCACTCACCATCTTCTTATGGACATTCATGGGTGGTTGGTGCGTCGACAAGGGGAATTCAATGGAAGTTGCTGCTCTTCAGGTGACCGGTGTTGGTCAAGACGCGTCTGTGTTGCTCTGGTTAGAGCAGGTTTGCATTGTTGTTGTAATGTGTGCGGAGTCTTTTCTTCGATTAGCATCGGTGTCGTGTTTGAACTATACTTACTGTTTGCAGCGAGTGATAGTCTCTTGTAATTGTCTTATGTCTTCTATAAAAATATGTACGCCTTTGATGTACTCTCGAAAAAACAATGTAACTGTAGGCGAAACAGATATTAGGGCAAAGATAATGGGTACGATTTTTACTTACCTCTTGTCCTCTTTTAATTCTACTCCCTTTGTATATATTTTTGCAGTTTAATTAAAAGGGTTTGTCTAGGACACATCTAGATGTGTCATAATTAAAAAGCCAAAGTTGCCCACACAGCCGCCTCTCCCAAAAAATCCTAGGGTTTTCTTTGTCTCCCGTTGGCGCCGCTGCCGGTCTGCCTCGCCTCCGGTGGCCTTAGGGCCTTGGCGGCGTGGTGGATCCCGACCCTTGCCGGCGGGAGGGCTCCGTCTTTATATGTTCCTTTGAATTTTGTTAGTGTTTGTGTCCTACTCAGGAAGATGAGACGACGATGCTTTCCTGAAGATGGAATAAGGTTCTTCCCGTCTAGCCTCCGTCCCGATGGTGCATCTAGCATCATTGGTGGGTGTCTGGAGATGTATCTCCGGCAGATCAGTCCTTGGTGGATTTGCTCGGATTTGGTAGTAGTTCGTCTACATTCGTTCATCTTCAAGTTGGATTCTATCAATCTACGCTACTCTTCAATGACGGCGATTGCTGTTATGTTGCATTGGTCCTATGGGGCCTTAACACGACGATTTCCTGACTGTTTACTGCAACAAGTTTTGCCCAACTCCGACAAGGGAGGGGCGATGACGGCGGTGCATCTTCGACTCGCTTCAGTGCTTGTAGTCGTCTCTAGGTGGTCTAGGGATCTGAATGTAATTTTTATTATTTCTGATGTTCATTGTACTGTCATGATTGAAGATGAACAGATCGAAAGTTTTCTCGAAAAAAAAGAGAAAGATGTGTCTTAGTAATTGCACATCTAAATGTAACTACCAAAAAAAGAAAAAAAAGATGTTTACACGAATTTTATGTAAAATCAATGATATAGGATTTAGATGTGCAATACTTAGCACACATCTATATTGTGCTTTATCCAAACTGTAATTTAAATTTAGAGAGGGAGTACTCTAGTAGAGATACACCTATGGTCGTGCCAGCGCTCTGTACTCCACCATGGCGTGGTGATGGCGCGGCCGTGTGGCGGTGGCGGGTATTTTCTTTTTCTTTTTCTTTTTCAAACAGGCGTGTATATCTACCCGAACGTTTTTTCTATCCGAATAGGTGTGTGTATCCGGAGGCCCAAAATACGCCTACGCAGCTACGCACGCGCGTATCCGCGTACGATATATATACGGCCCCGGCATCCTCCTCCACTCCCCTTTTCCTTCCCTGTCACCGCACGGCAGGAGACATACATACAGAGGCGGGCGGGGGGAGGAGGGAGGAAAGGGGAGGGAACCACCCCGTCCGAGCCGACTTTGGATCCACCCACCTCCCGACGACGATCCGGTCGCGAATCGGAGCTGCCGCCAGCTCCCCTCCCCCCCCTGCTCCGCTCGCCGAACGGACCTGTTACTTCTACTCGGATCCCTGAGCTGGTCCGGTTGGCCTGATACGCGCGCCGAAGCTCGATCTCGCGCCGGGAGGCCTGCCGATTGCTGATTCGGGGCCGGATTTGGGTGCCGGGCGTGTCGTGGCGTGCGGGTGAGGCGGGCGGAAGCTAGGGTTCCGGCGGGTGCGCGCGCGCCGGCGAGATGACGACCCGGCGGGTGAGGCGGCGCACGTGCAGGGACAAGGGGAAGGGGAAGGAGGTTGTGGAGGAGGGGCGGGCGGTGGAGGCCGGCTCATCGCCGCCGCGGGACTGGGTGCCGGCGGGGGATGGGGATGGGGGCGGCGAGGCGGTGGCCGGCGAGGCCGTGGACTGGACGCTGCTTCCGGATGACACCGTGCTGCAGCTGTTTGGCCGGCTGAGCTACCGCGACCGCGCCAGCTTGGGGGCGACCTGCCAGACCTGGAGGGGGCTCGGGTCGTCGCCGTGCCTGTGGAGCACGCTCGACCTCCGCGCGCACCGTTGCGACGCTGAGGTCGCCTCGTCGCTGGCCTCGCGGTGCGGGGGCCTGCAGCGGCTGCGGCTGCGGGGTCATGAGGCGGCTGTGGCGGTGGCCTCCGCCCTCGGCGCCCGCGACCTCCGAGAGGTGGTGGCCGAAGGCTGCAGGGGACTCACTGACGCCACTCTTGCAGTCCTGGCCGCTCGACACGAGGCGCTGGAGAGCCTCCAGATCGGTCCAGACCCCCTTGAGCGCATCTCCAGCGACGCCCTCCGCCATGTCGCTCTTTGCTGCTCCCGCCTCCGTCGCCTCCACCTCTCGGGTCTCCGTGAAGCTGACTCTGATGCCATAGGAGCGCTGGCGCGCTACTGCCCCCTCCTTGAGGACGTTGCCTTGCTCGACTGCGGCACTGTAGATGAGGCTGCCCTTGGTGACATCCACTCCCTCCGATTCCTCTCCATAGCAGGATGCTACAACGTGAAATGGGCTACAGCATCCGCCTCATGGGCCCAGCTTCCCTTGCTAGTCGCCGTCGACGTCTCCCGCACTGATGTCTCTCCAAATGCTGTCGCTCGTCTAATCTCCCACTCCAAAACCCTCGAGCTTATATGTGCTCTTAACTGCAAATTTGTCGAAGAGGAACAAGCACACAGTCCCACTGCATTTAGCAACTCCAAGGGCAAGCTTGTGCTTACCATTACATGCCCCATTTTTAAATCACTCGCTTCACTGTTTCCTGCCGAGGCTGTGGAGGAGCACGGCGTGTTCAATGAGTGTAATTGGAGGAACAAAAGGAAAATACTTGGTGTCATGATGAACTGGCTCGAGTGGATCCTATCACAGTCGCTTCTTCGGATTGCGGAGTGCAATCCATATGGCATGGATGACTTCTGGTTGCAGCAGGGCACATCAATGCTGCTGAGCCTGGTGAAGAGCTCACAGGAGGATGTGCAGGAGCGTGCAGCTACAACAATTGCTACATTTGTGGTTATTGACGATGAAACTGCGAATGTGGATGCTGCAAGGTCGGAGGCGGTAATGCGGGATGGAGGCATTCCACTTCTGCTGGACCTTGCAAGGTGCTCAAGGGTGAGTGCTCAGTCTGAAGCAGCAAAGGTATAAATTATTTGGCCGAACTCATGGGTTCTCAGTATTTGTTTTCTATACTATTCTGGTATATCATTTAGTCCCATTGGTTATGTCTCTGTTCAGGCTATTGCCAACCTATCGGTGAATGCGAAGGTTGCAAAGGTGGTTGCAGATGAAGGAGGTATCGCCATTTTCACTAATTTGGCTAAGTCGACGAATCGACTTGTTGCTGAAGAAGCTGCTGGTGGCCTTTGGAACCTCTCCGTGGGTGAGGAGCACAAGGTTGTTATTGTCTAAATGCTGATTCTTATTGCTTGCTTTGATGTCCGTATCACTCGTGCTAATAATTGATTGGTTTCTCATTTTCAGGCGGCTATTGCGGCAGCTGGTGGTATAAAGGCTTTGGTTGATCTTATATTTCGTTGGCCTGCTGGGACTGATGGAGTTCTTGTATGGAACTTTTAACTTCACATTTTCAGCAACTTCCAACTATACCTGCTGATATGCTCCCAACCATCCTTTTTGTGACTTTGCTCTACCCCTTTTTTCTATTAGGAACGTGCTGCTGGTGCGCTTGCAAACCTAGCTGCTGATGACAAGTGCAGCTTGGAAGTTGCAAACGCTGGTGGTGTCCATGCTTTGGTTACACTTGCTCGATCATGTAAACTTGAGGGCGTCCTAGAACAGGTAAGCTGCATTGTGTCTTCATGCTTGTCCAGTTTTGTTCTATACGTATAAACCAGTAAAATTTTATGCTATATCTCCTAAATTGTCAACCAATACTACACATTCCGCAGAACAGACACATTTTACGATGTAGGAAAAACATGAGTAAAGAACATTCTCCCTCTGTAAAGAAATATAAGTTCATATCACTAAAGTAGTGATCTAAACGCTCTTATATTACTTTACAGAGGGAGTACAAGTTTTCATCTTCAATGCTCCATACTTTTACATACCATCTGCAGCTTATTTCTTGCCTATTGAACTTTTGCCCTGCAATATATGCACCATTTCGATCATTTATAGTGCATCTTCCAGGTACCAATGCAAACATTTCTTGCATGGATAGCTACAATTTTATCGTGCTTGTCCAAGAGCACTCTTATGACACGTCCCATGCAAATTTTACAACTCGTGTTCCCATCAAGAAACAGAAGTCTGTAACCTGTGGTACTGAACCCGTGTCTGATATTCCCTCAAAAAAAACAAAAAGAGAAACCATGTCTGATATGCCGACTAGCTTCATACCATTTAGGTGTAAGTAGAAAACACACTTTAATATAACATTTTAAATCTTTTAAACCTGCTCGAAACCATTTTGCTTTAGAGAGCAGCCCGGTGCACATAGCTCCCGCTTGCGCAGGGTCAGGGGAAGGGTCCGGCCACTTTGGGTCTATAGTACGCAGCTTTTCCCTACATTTCTGCAAGAGGCTGTTTCCAGGATTTGAACCCGTGACCTCATGGTCACAAGGCAACAGCTTTACCGCTGCACCAAGGCTCCCCTCTTCACCTACATTTCGCTAAGGCATTTTGCTTTAGAGCTACTCAAAATATCTGTTTATAAAATAGTAGCAGTTCTCCGCTTCATCTTAAGCTCTAGAAGTAAATGCCTTGTATACATATTTTGTCCTCTTTATGTTCACCCCTGTTTTGTTATTTGCTAATGCTATGTTTGTTATGCATAGGCGGCAAGGGCTCTAGCCAACTTAGCTGCACATGGAGATAACAACAACAATAATGCAGCTGTAGGTCAGGAAGCAGGGGCTCTTGAGGCATTAGTGCAACTAACATGTTCTCAAAACGAGGGTGTAAGGTATAGTTCTAATTGACATGCTTTCACTTTTATGGTTTAAAGTTGTAATATTAGCTTTCCTTAATGTATACCACATAGATCTGAGGTAATATTGTGCTTTTTATTTAAAATTCAATCAGGCAAGAGGCTGCTGGTGCTTTGTGGAACCTATCATTTGATGACAGGAATCGTGAAGCTATTGCTGCTGCGGGGGGTGTTGAAGCATTGGTAATACCTTTTATCTTATCAACCAAACTGTCTTACGCTTTGCATTCTTTGACCAATATTACCTGTTAGGTTCTCCATCTAAATTTACATGATCTCTCTGAATAGGTTTGTGCTCAATGGATTAGTGTGAAATACAAAAGTTCAAGTATAATAGTTTTCATTCAAAGAAGGCTGAAGTTATTGTGGAGCAATTTAGTTAGAACTGTGTGTCATGAACTCTTAGTATTTAGGGGCAGACATTTAACTAGCAAGCGTGTAACTTCCTCTGAGGAATCATTTATTATGCTGCTAGCCAGGACTCGAAAATGTTTCTTTGGGAATTACTGTGTCACCCGTCTTTTCTTAAGCCTACTTAATAGGGGAGCTGTCTTTTTCACGTATATGGCATTCGTATTTTAGGTTTCACTTGCACAACAATGTCTGAATGCTTCGGAAGGCCTTCAGGAGAGAGCTGCTGGCGCATTATGGGGACTATCTGTCTCAGAATCGAACAGGTAACTTACTATACTAGTATACTACTCCCTCCGTCCGGAAATACTTGTCTTAGGAATGGTTGTATCTAGACTTATTTTAGTTATAGATACATCCATTTTATCCATTTCTAGGACAAGTATTTCCTGACGGAGGGAGTATCTAGTTGTTACGATACTCTCACTAGTGATCTGTGGAAGTTCTCGCAACACTGCTGCTTATGCATTTTTCTGCTCGAGTTTATATATTCGGCAAATTTTCGAAGTTCACTGAAAGGTCTTACTACTTACTGCCAGTTATTCCATGGTGTCTGCTATTTAAGACATAATGATCCTTGCAGATAACTTCTTACCATCAAAGAGTCTGCCTACCTTTATTCACTAAACTTGCACCACATACCAACTTCCTCTATTTTTAGGAGTGCGTTTGTGATAGTTGCATATGAGATGGACATGTTGATCGGAAATAAATCTTAATGGAAATTCCAATGTACTGATGGAAGTGATAAATGGCTGTAGTGTCAATCAAGAAAAGGAAGTCTAGTCAATACTTTAGGGTGTGTTTGGTTGGGGTGTGTTTGGTTGAGGAACCAACTGTCACGGAATGGAATGGTTCCATTCCAGAGGAACGGGTCGGTTCCATTCCTGTGTTTGGTAGGTGCAAAATAGTAGAATGGGTTGGTTCCATTCCAGTGTTTGGTTCGGAAGAATGGAATGAAAAATGGAATAACAGAAATTCAAAATTCGGCAGCATTTCATTTGAATTTTCAAGAAAAACAACATAATAATATATATTGACATAAAACACAATTTTCAGCAACAATATCATAAGGTAGCAAGTTCATTTGGCACATCCAAAAGCAATCAGCCAGTACATGTCTGTCACATACAAATAATCAAAGCAAAGTGCTCCCCTAGCCATCCTTTTTCTTTTGCTCATCTTGACCATCTACAATGATACATCTACAAGGTGCTCCCCTAGCCATCCTTTTTCTTTTGCTCATCTTGACCATCTACAATGATACATGCTATAAAAAATATGCCTACCAATTACTTCTAACCATGGATCTAGACAACAATATATGGAAGAAATTGAGGAAGAACATTGCACACACAGAAACATAGATCCGTTCATCAATCCAATGTGAGCATCAGCATGTATATACAGAGAAGGGAATGGAACTGTACCTTGCCTTCGCTGCTACTTGCTAGCCGCCCTGCTAGGTCGCCGCCGCTGCCTGCTAGGTCGCCACTGCCGCCTGCTAGGTTGCCGCCGCGCCGCCGCCTGCTAGGTCGCCGCTGCCACTGCCTTCTAGGTCGCTGCCAAGCCCCTGATGTGCGCCATCGCAGACGAGAGATGACGGGGAGGAGAGGGAAGCCGGCGCTGGAGAGGTGCGGGAGGGGCGGGGCTGAGAGAGGTGCGGGAGGGTGGCAGATCGAGAGGGAGGGAGAGATGCGGGAGGGTGGCGGCGCTGAGAAGGCAGTCGGGAGAGGATAGGGCTTGGGTTCGTGCGAGGGGAACGACCGAACGAAGCCCGTTCCCTGTCGTCCGCTCGAATCGGAGGTATGCCTCGGTTCCGCATATAGAGCGAATATGCTCTTTTCTGGGTCCGGTGGGTTCTGATTCGATCTGCTAACTAAACGTGGGAATAGGCTCTCGGGACGGGACGGATCCATGCCATTCCATCCGGTGACAGCAACTGAACACACCCTTGAGGAACCAAATGGAATGGAATGGAATGGTTCCATTCCAGTAGAATGGATCGGTTCCGTTCCTGTGTTTGGTTTCAGTCACCAAGTGGAATGGAATGGTTCCGTTCTTGCATTTGGCTAGAGAGATGAAACGAGATGAATTTGATTCAGCCAGAAGGTTTTAAAGTTCTTAAGATACATTTGTTACACTGTTAGAACTGCCAAATAACCTTGGGATTATTAGTTGCTCAAGAAACATGGCTGAACAAGTCATGAGCACCTAAAACAAGAAAAATAAATCCAAGTATGAATGGTTGGCCATCTCAGTAACAACTACTCAACTCCACAACTACACATTTATGTCAGTGTAAGCGTACTGACGGGAAAAGGATCATAACACACAAGCATCTACAAATCTTATAAGCTGATCCATAGGAATTGTTGTAGTAACCATCCAAACAAAATCTGAAAGGAATTCAAAAACTGCTCATTCAACATTCTTAATTCTGTTTAACACCTTATTATTTGGATTCAGAAACACAAACTAAAATAGACAAAGATCAAGAAAATCGAGAGGGTTTCCCCGTGCTCCATCGTGACCCTGTCATGTGCATGCCCCAGCCAAGCTTGGCTTCCTTCAACAGGAGCTCGCTGCTCCCATCCATGTTGCTACCACTTGCCGCTGGTCTTCTCGATCCCCTTGCCGATTATGACCTAATTGTGTGCACATCTCAGCCCAGCTCGGCGTCCTTCGATAGGAGCAGCCGCCGTATCCCGCCGTAGTAGCCGCCGCAGCCGCTCGCCTGCCTTACCGCTGCTTGCCCAAAGCGCCTACTGCTAGCCCGCCACCCCTTCTCCTCTTGGTCTACCACGCCATGAGGAAGAGACGAGGGAGAGGTGGTGCCGTTCATGAGGGAGAGGCTGGCGCCGATTGATCGAGAGGCAAGAGAGACGAGGGAGTGGCAGTGCTGATGGGAATAGGGTTTGGAGTTGGGAGGGAGGTGAGTGAATCGGCGAGGAAGTGAGATGCGTCCTGTTCCACGTGATACCTCTGATTTGGAAGTACGAGTGAGTTCTGGATCTTGGCCGAATATTCGCTTGGTGGGAACTAGTGGTTTCCAGTTCCATTTGTCTACCAAACACAGGAATGAGGCCCAGGTACAGGTCGGACCCATTCCATTCCACTTGGTGACCGAAACCAAACACACCCTAAAAGAAGACCCGTCCTGTACCTGTTAAATTGTTAAATTTGAATCTGTTCAGAATCTGTGACTTCTTTTTGGATAGATCGAAAAAAATAGGTGATTTGGAAACAAATGCATTTCTTTAGAACGGGATGAAACAAACAAACATCAACACCATATGTCATACAAAAAAACATTTTTGAGTATCACTTGGAGAAACTTCTCATACCTTTATGTTCATGAGCCATCTGTATGCAGGGAGAGTCTTGTGCAGCTCTTCATGCAGTGCATAGTGATCCCTCTAGTTCAAATGTTGTATTGTATTTAACATGAAATTTAAAAACATCCTGCCACCTGTATGCCAAATTCATAAACTAGCCTGCTCCATCTCTCCCTTTGTTCGGCTTGAGTGTACTTTGATATTTACAGTCTGTTCTTCTCCATCTCTTCCGCATGGTAGGCTCCTGCTTGGTAAAGGATCTTGACCAAACTGCTCAAAACATTGCACACATATAAATCTTGCTTGCATGGCATTCGGTCAGAAGATTAACCCTCGTCATGATGCAGCCGTGGGAAAAAAGGGAAAATTTTGAACATCTTCGAACTTATCGTTCACACCATCCTTGTCTAGAATACCGGGTTGGCAATCATGCAAACGAGGAATTTACGGCCTTGATGCTAACCTTTTGGTCCACTCCTGGGGCTTCTTGGTTCATCTTCCGTATTCACAGATCTGAGCCTTGAACTCAGAAGTCAGTACGCTCTTGTCGGCCCGCTGCTCCAGTCTCCTGCCTTGCTCACAGATCTTGTCACCTGTGCATATCATGGCCAACGGCCTGCTCGTCCGCCAGCACCGCACGGTGCTTGACCTCGTCTCCATTGACCAGATCCATGTGTGGCTCCCACGTCACCTTGTCTCCACTTAAGATTACAGCTTGAGTAGTACAAAACAGAATACTCTGGAAATCCTACAAATCAAACAGAACACTCCCACGTCACCTTGTCTCCACCTAAGATTTCAGCTTGAGTAGTACCAAACAGAACACTCTCGATATGCTACAAATCAAAGGCAGAGAGGCCAGGGGACGATGATCTGATCCAACAGGAACTCCATCTTCCTCGGCTACTTGCCCACCCTCACGACCGTCTTTAGCTCGACTGGCACGGTGAGTGGCCTTCTTCTTCCACCGTATGAATCAGGTTTTTTTAGCGAACCATATGAATCAGGTGGCCCCGTTGCAGTGTTATTATTCCACCCTCTAGCCCCATCTGGAAGCAGCGCTGGCAAATCTCGAGCATGGGCCGAAATAAATATCATGTACTCCCTCCGATCCATATTAATTGACGCATACTTAGTACAACTTCGTACTAAAGTTGTACTAAGTGTGCGTCAGTTAATATGGATTGGAGGGAGTACCATGGTCCATCCGTTAGCATGTATCCTGGGCCAACCGTACACCCACCAGATGTCAAACAGGGGCCCTGTGCGTGGGCCCATTGTATACACTGCATGGCCATACATGGCCATCAATACTGGACTTTCTGCACGCTCGTATTTGTTCCGAAAGTAATCTTTTCACAGATCATCATGCCTTGTTCGGTGGCCCAGTCTTGTTTCTTAATCGGTCTAATATTAGACTTGTTGCAGTAAGAAGAAAAGGAAATAATTATTTTCTAGTATTTGTATAAATAAAACAAAAAAAGTGTTTTCAGGAATCTGCATCTTATCTCTTTCTTCTGTTAATCTTTGATGTTTTTTGTGCCATAACGGAGGGGTTTGACTTCTAACTTTATAAGACTTTTCTTACATCAGCTTTTAGCTATTCATTCATCATTCGACATAGTTGGTCATAACTTTTGCATTACGATTGTCAGCATCGCAATTGGACAGGAGGGTGGCGTTGCACCATTGCTCACAATGGCACAGTCAGAGGTTGAAGTAAGTTTCCCTTATACTTAAGATTTCATGCCTGGATGCGTACAGTTACTAAAGAGCTTCAATTGTTTTCTTCCTCATGACCTGATCTATGCCCTTCTGTTTGGCAGTAGGTAACACATCTGTAGATTATCTGCTCGTTAACAGTTTGGTTTCAAATAAATTAGACATTTTCTTTATGAGGGCCCTTGATTTCCTGTTGACTTTTACCCCTACTCTATTGCCTAGGTGATTATGTAGTTCATGTCTACAGTTGCTACATATTGTTATTTACTCCGGACCTGATGACTCACTATTGCTGCAGGATGTTCATGAGACAGCTGCAGGGGCATTGTGGAATCTTGCTTTCTATTCCAGCAATGCTCACCGTATAGTTGAAGAAGGTGGGGTGCCTATACTTGTGCACCTTTGCTCATCATCAGGGTCAAAGATGGCTCGGTTCATGTCTGCGCTAGCCCTTGCCTATATGTTTGATGGAAGGTACACTTTTTGTGAAACTGACCATTCTTGTTTGTTTTTCGATATTAATATCTGGCCTTACGTTTAGAGTTACACAAAGACTGCAAGCAAGTTAACAATATGCAATCCTGCTATATTATTGATTTTATCATGTAGCGTTAGCTTCAAAATTCGGTTCATCTAATTGATCATGATGTACTTCTCGTAGAGTGAACTAAACAGTTGACACCATGCTTCCTGGCTTTGATGAAAATCAGTTATTCCAATAACTTTGATAGCAGCTTCTGGGTTACATACAAATTTTGTACCACCTCCATTTCATACTAGTAGGTGTATTATGATTTGTTCAGATAAGGGTTTGACCAACATTTTATGTCCCAAACCCTTGTCTTAATGAATCGTAGTAAGCCTTATATTGTGAAACTGAGAGAGTATATAAGTGGTTTTGAAGTACTCCTTCCGTTCCTAAATATAAGTCTTTTTAGAGATTCCAACATGGACTACATACGGAACAAAATGAGTGAATCTACACTCTAAACTACGTCTATATACATTCGTATGTAGACCATATTAAAATCTCTAAAAAGACTTATATTTAGGAACAGAGGGAGTAGTTGGAGATTTCAATTATGTTGCCCATGCCAGCGGAATATTTGTCATCAATAAGCCAGTTTTGTAGTTTCTATAATTTCATTGTTAACATCTAGAGAGCACAGTGGGTCAGTGTTAATTGTTCTTAAGTTTTCTGATTAATAAATCAGAAATGATCTTATGTATTGTGTGCAGTTGTGTGGTACTGTATTATGGTTATCATGAGTATCGCTTGGTTTCCAGGGTCATGCTGCCTAGGTTATTGGCTTACTGCATTGTTCGTTGTCATAGTTGCTTACTGCATTGTTCGTTGTCATAGTTAGTCTAGGTGACTTATTAAGCCTTATGTGCATCATTGTTTGACAGTGCAAGTGAAACAGAAGCACTGCATCTTCGTATTCCATGATGTAGAATGAAGTTATGAGAAATTAAACACAATTGTCATTTCTGTTTATTAGTTTATTGTAGATCAACATATTGTTGGCATAAAGTACTGTTGCCTTAGGCTGTACGAGATAAATATTTTTCTTTTTGGACTCAGAATTTTGTGCGTTAGTATTTGTATACGGGTCTGAATATATTTTTACTTGGAAGGTCAGCTAGCTATAGAAGCTTAGACACGGTTTGCCATGGTTCGCTAGTCTCTTTTAGGATGTTCAATTGCTGCATGTATTCCTTAAGTAATTACTCCCTCTAAAGAAATATAAGATCGTTTAGATTCACTCTGTAGTGATCTAAACGATCTTATATTTCTTTACAGAGAGAGGATACTGTAAGCTGGTTGGCAGAAATTTGGTATTTATTGCTGATGCACAAGATTATCTTATCAAGGAAATTTCATGTCATAATCTGAAATATGTGATCTGACAGAATGGATGAGGCCGCCATTGTTGGGACATCATCTGAGGGCAGTTCCAAAGGTGTTAACGTCGAGGGAGCTAGAAGAATGGCTTTGAAGCATATAGAGATCTTTGTGTTGACGTTTTCAGATCCACAGGTGTTCTCTATGGCTGCAGCTTCCTCAGCACCAGCAGCGCTATCTCAGGTTGCCGAAGCAGTGTTCATACAAGAAGCTGGACACCTGAGATGCAGGTTTGGCTTTACATTTCGTGTTTATTTCGTTCATCTTATTTGAATCTTCCATCATAATTTGAATGCATTTGGTGAACATAGTTCTAATACCTTTACTTCCTCCAGTGGTGCTGAGATAGGTAGATTTATTGCCATGCTTCGGAATCCTACGCCAGTTCTTCGTGCGTGTGCTGCATTTGCCCTTCTTCAGGTTTGTTTTCCTTAACATCTAATGCTAGTCGTCCCTGCCTTATTTTTTCCATTGGAGTTGCCGTGATTGGACACCTGGGCGAGACAGCGCACCAGGCCAATTTTTGTTTACCTTTGGACATCATGCGTCTAACGATGTCCCATCTTGCAATTAGTTCCTACTCCCATAGTTACAAGAATTATTTTCCATTTTGATCATGCTTAAAACCGGTTACTTCGTCTATATTCTTGATCACTTGCTTCTCCTTTCACTGGTAAATAGGGAAGATGAACTGAAATTCTTTCCTGTTCGTTCAAAGGGACCAGGCCTAATCTCTATCTGTCTAAAAAAGTTATCTACATCTTTGTTTCTGTTTTGGCTGATGCAAACCGATCTTAGTTTTCTGGTAACAGTGTTTCTCCTATGATCTGACGAGAGATACTCTTCAAAATGCTATGCAGTTCTCAATCCCGGGAGGTCGACATGCAACACACCATGCGGACCTTCTGCAAAATGTTGGAGCGGCTCGGGTCTTGCGTGCAGCGGCGGCAGCAACATCAGCTTCCATTGAGGCCAAAGTGTTCGCCAGAATTGTCCTTAGGAATCTGGAACACCATCAGGCAGGGACTTCAACCTGAAAACGCAATGGCGAGCACAAGCGCGACTAATTCTCCAACAGGGCATAACTTCTAACCTTTGGCCCCAGAATGGATGCAAACTCGCGGTTAAGTTGTCGCTGGCATTTGAAGCTGCCACGCAAGCTGTGACCTTGGAACTTCCACCTTGAGGAGAACTGTCAGAAGAGATGTACTCCGTATGAACGTTCAACCGATGGTCAGCAGCTGTTGAGTGTGCAATTTTCCTGTTGTTTTTCTGATGTGTAAAAGTAACTTAAAAGTGTTAGAGTTAGCATTGGCAGGACGTAGAGAACTTTTATGGTATATAGAAAGTTAAGAGTGTTTGTTATCTGTTGATTTAATTTAACAAGGTGAGTGGCAGCGGGTGACATTGTTAGGCTGTTCCACCTGTCGCATACATGTAAAACTTTGTAGATGCATACTGCTTTGTTATATGAACGTCCCGTGGATGTGTTTCTGTGCTTTGTGCAAATTAAACGAGCCGTTAATTTAGTAGAGATCTATTTTTACTAACCTCTCAAACAGTCTATACATTTAGGCCCATACCCAACAAATATCTATACAAACGATCCTACTCTCTCTGTTTCAAAATAGATGATCTAATTTTGTACTAACTTTGTACATAGTATACGAAAAAATTGATATATGTTTTGATTCATTTACAGCTGAGGCAACCGCAGTTCGGTTTGGCATGAATCTTGCTCGTACAGTTGGATGCAGTAAAATTGATATCAATTCCGACAACATTGAGGTCATCGAAGCTCTTAAAGACGGAAATTCTTCTTTGGTTGCTAGCGCAATTTTTGACGATTGTTATTTTATGTCATTAGATTTTGATCATATTGTTTATGATCATTGTAATAGGGAAGCTAACCAGGTAGCTCATGAAATGGCGAGATTAGCTAAATTTTCTACGCTTGGTTTTTGGATGGATACTGTCCCTAGTGCGGTCATTCCTTTGCTTGTAAATGATGCCACTGTTTTGGTGATTGAGTAAGAGATATTATTTATCAAAAAAATAAATTAGGTCATTTATTTTGGAACGGAAAGAGTACTACTTATTACAAATGAATAAAACCTGAGTTAAAAAAACCTTGGGAGACGGTAGAACCTCCAACTTACACTCACCATCGAGTCCATAGAATTGCTGACAGAAACACCACATGCCTAATGGACAACACAACACGGGATTGATCACACTACATCATTATCATCTATCTCCCATACACTACATCATTATCATCTATCTGCCATACTCAATCCTTGTAACAACCCCCGAGAAGGATCATGAGATGGAGGCAGCAGAATACCACCAACAACATGTACTTGCAGATTGACAAGGCTGTACGGGTAACACGGCGACTTCCTGAATCGCCCTCGAAGCGAATACAATCGGTCTTGTAGTCAAGCAGCTCCGTGAAAGAAAAGATTGCGACAACGCAAGCGTACAAGCATACTATGGTGGCAAACACAAACAGCACACGCAGAGTCAACCTCTTCCAGAAAGGGAAACGGGCCATACCGGTCTTGGGTTTGGCGGCGTCGGCGGTCTTCTTTGCAGCCTCGGCGTCTTTCTTGGCAGCCCGAGTCGCATCGGCCTTCCGCTTCACCTCGTCCTTTGCTTCCTTGAGATCCTTGTCAATGAGGTTGAGCTCCTTGTCGGCCTTTGCAGCTGTATCCTCGGCCTGAGTTGCCGCCTTAGCCGCCTCGTCGGCAGCCATCTCCAAGTCCTCGATCTTCTTCTGCGAGGCAACATCGTCGCCGACAGGGTTGGCCTTGGCTTGGGCCAAGTTCTCATCGGCAGCTTGGGCAACTCTGATTGCATCATTAGCTTCGGATCTGGTGATCTTTTTGGCATCAAGGGCGTTGTCTTAGGCGGCGCGCATCTCCGCGACGACGCGCTTGGCGTCCGCTTCGGCCTGGACAGCCTTTGCTTCGGCATTTGAGGCGACCGCAGAAGCATTAGCTGCGAGAGTGCGAACAACGGCAGCCTGCGCGGCAGCGGCGGGATCGGCCTCGCGTTGCTCTTGCTCTTCTTCTTGGGCACGGGCATCAACGATGATTTTGACAAGATAAATGATGCAAGCTGCGAGGGCCATTGCGATGGCAAGAAAAGTGACATCAAACGCCAGATTCTTGTAGTGATGGGCCACTTGTTTGGCGTCGCATATTACGGATGTAGCGTTGAGGCTGCGGAGTGTCTCGATCACCGATGATGGATCCGACACGCTGTTGCCAATGAGAAACAGGCTCGTAATGCCGCCGATGAACGCCAACATCTTAACCAGAAGATCTTGAAAAGATCCGAGCATCTTGAACACGCGTATCTTGATCAGAAGATCCCGGAAAGATCCCATCTTGGCTAACAACTGTTTCTGAAGAGGAAAATCATCGAGAGGAAACGAGTAGCAGTTAGTGGCCTGGCATGAACAAGATTAAGATAAACAACAAGGAGATCATCCAGAAATCACCACACAAGATGAAAACATCCACAAGAGCCGACCTGTCTCGGTCGCGCGCGTGCAAACGCTCGAGCAGGAGCCCGTGCTCGACTCGGGCGCGGCACAACATGGCGAGGAGCGGCGACAGGAGCTGTGTGGGCACGGCGCGGCTTGCGGGAGAGCTGCGGTACGTGCGCGGGCACGCACGCATGTGTGGGTGAGCGCGGGCAAGCAGAGGGCTGCGGGGCACTCGAGCTCGAGCGTTGCTCGGCTCGGGGCCATGTAAAAAGAGCGGGCGAGGAAGAGAAGATGGGGCATGCGAGACGAGGCAGTGCAAGGCACGCGGGCGAGGCGGGCGTGCTGCTGCGCATGGTGCGGGTGTGCGGCGAGGCGCGGCGAGCGCGTGTGTGCATGAGGAGGCGCGGATGCTGAGTGTGTGCGTGTGCGCGAATGAGGCAGGGCAACGAGTTTGAGCTCGCTGCCATGGTCGTCCAGGGCGGCCCTGGCCTCGGGCACGATGGGATCGGCGGCTACAGCGACGGAATTGAATCAGAGAGGGGCTGGGAGGAGCGGCTGCTCACCTAGGTCCCGTAGGAAAAGACGAGGCGGCTGGAGACGCGACGGAGAGGACTCGAGGACGCGCTGATCGTGGTGAAGCTCGGCTCCGTGAAGAAGACGAAGCAGGGGAGGTAGACAGGGCGCTGAACTTGGCGATCCGGCTCGGGGAGGACGCGAAACGGAGTCGCGGCGGCGTCGCGATACGCGTGGAGGAAGAAGGAGTCGGCGGAGAGCTTGCTACGCCGGAGGAGAGCCCTGGCTCCTCCCGGCCATGGCGTCGGGCTTGGGGGATGAGGCGCGGTGGAACTGGCTGCTTACCTGGCGGCGGCGCGAGGAGGAAGAGAGGAGGAGGGGCGAACCCTAGGACGAAGCGTGGGGGTTTAATAGGAGGAGCGGGCGCGGTGCCGTGGCCATGGTGGCCATGTGTGCTCCTCGCCGAGAGTTACTGTGAGAGAGAGATGTGATGGAGGTGGAAGAAAAGTTGCACGGTGGGGGGATGACAAGTGGGGCCGGTCCAGTGCATGACAGGAATTTACCAGGGAGGAGAGAGCGAGTGGTCCAGGTGGGTTGGGCTCCGGCTGGGCTGGGCTCAGGTAAGGTTTTCTTCCTGTTTTAATTTCTTCTTCTTTTCTGTTTTCAACATACACAGAATTAGAAGAAAACTAACAGGGGGTTTAGGCGAAGGAGCTGAGAGATAACAAAATATCCACACAGTCCTGGAAAAGCGCAATATTTAATAAAAATGCTCTGGTAATTTTTAGAGACTACAAATTCAAACAAGTTTGAAAATAATTCAAGATTGAATAAATCCTTAGCTGAACCAAAGCACTTCCAAATGATCTTAAAACAGGAGGAGGTGGTCTTGGCATGAACTAGGATTTATAGGGAAATATTGAACATTTTTTGGAAAAGGAAAATGTCACTTGCAATAATTAGAGAAAGAGGAAGGAAGCTAACGAAGGGTTTGAGCACTTGATCATGGTTTTGGTTTAGATATGACTTGGCTCCCGGACGCAAATGAATATGAAAGAAGATGATGGGGTTCACACTAGATCATAACAACAAAAAATAAATATACAAACACCGAAGCAAAGATGGTCATGATGCATGACGCAAAAATAAAACAAACAAACATCACAAGTAAGAACATATCACAAAAATAATGGAGGTTTCAGTCTTGGGCTGTTACAAACATATATCAATTATCTTAACAATGGTAACTATCAGGCAATGAATAACTATAAAGATAAATAATTGAAATAACTACAGTATGATCAAGATAAAGCACAAATCAACATGGTGTCCAAGTCATCACCATGATCGCTGCACGACCATCTCTTACTTCCCTGTGGTCCTCCGACCATCTTTCTCATAGCCATCCAGTGGCTTATCCTCAATCTCCTGACATACACAGATGTCAAGGTCATTCCACTATAAGTCTGACAGACCACATCTTTCCACGGGTAGTTTTTAGAAGTTTCATATTTCATTTATAGCTCCGAATTCGACGAGACCAAACAGTGTGACCTAGTACGAACTATGCCCAATACCAAGGATGCGGCTACTCTGGATAGATTTTATGCTCTGCGGAGGATGTGCACTGTACCCACACTATGGACAATAGTCCAATAAATCCCTTCTATAGCATGACACTCTTACCGCACCATGGACTACCCACATGCTAGCCTTGGGAGAGAGAAACCGGGGCCCTACCACCTCGTGGCACAACTCATCCACTCCTGTATGCAATACTTTCTAACACGCAATCATACCAGCTCCGACTCTCATAGTTGGACGACAATTTGGGGATCAAGGAGATACTAACTATCCAACCATCCCTCTTTTGTGATACGCGTAAAATTCATAAGCATAAATCGAGCTAGAGACTTCCTATAAATACAAATGTGGTCGCACGAGGGAGTTCAACTCAGTGACACCATGACTCGATCTAGACCGTAGAGGAGGTTGTTATTATTAGTTTCCCATTCTTTACCGTTACCTCAAGTGCATTTCACCTGCCCATGTTAGTCATACACCTGATAGAGAAATATACAGCAGTATGAAATCATATCAAATTGGATCCAAATTATCTCTACATAAGAGCCATTGGCGCTCTAATGTCAATATCATAACGTGCAACCAAGTAAACAACGTAAGTAGTTTATCCGAGCAAAGGTATGTGAGCATAAACAAGAACAAGTTTTAAACTACCAACTTGCAAGAATAACACATAGTGAACACTTAGGGTATACATCAAATGATTGGCTTGCCTTCGGACCAAGGAGGTCATCGGGAAGAAGTGTGATGGCCTGGTTGAAAAGTTCTGGCGGGATAATGATGCTCCGGAAAGGGCTAATCGACGATAGGGGCAAAATGGTCATTCAATGAAAGTGGCTCCATCAGAACAGACTTGGTGAGTGCAGAACATGTGCTTTGGAATGTGGATGAAAGATATGAATGAATTATTGTGAAGGACCTTTCTATAATTAAATAATTACACTTGGGTCCTTGACAATCTATAGCGCCTTCTAATGAAATATGCTTTCTAGAGGGGAAAGCACATTCAACCAAAATAGACCTCCACTTAAAAAGGACGGGCCCCAACCGTAAGAGAGGCATACCCCTCCACTGAGTCGCTTACAGGTGGGGTCTGCTGTACTGATTCGCTACTGTATAATTCTTCCTCTCGATGCACAGTGCACCGAGGAGAGGAGCGCGGGGCTCCGGCCATTGCCGATGACTCACGACACGAGAGGACCTGCCGATGACCAGGTCATGATCATGGGACCATGCCACGTCGGTCGATGTAGCGCAGGAACGCTGGAGTGATGGGAGCAACGACGACGCCAGGCAAGGCAGACGACGATGACAGTGAAGTTGGAGCGGAAGCCATGGCCGTGGATAGGAAAGGAAAGGATGGAACTCGGGCTCTATTATAGGAGGTGCTGGAGGTCTTCTAGCATGGCTAAATGGAGAGGAGGAGGCCTAGGTGCTCGGA